CATTTGCCTCCCACTGTCTCCTTGGCCTTTGAGTTATCGCTCTCGGAAAAATCCTCTCCTCGCAACAAAAACAACATTGTCCTTTGGTCTATAGAAGAGATATCCAAAGGATTTCTGCGAGTAGCCGATGAAAATATATCGCTCACTACGTGGTTTGAGCTTGTCGTGAGTATCTCGTCTTACGAAAGCCTCGCATCCCCAAACCTTGATATGTGCTAACGAAGGAGCTTTCCTCGTCCACATCTCGTGAGGTGTTTTGGCAACCTTCTTAGTAGGGATTCGGTTAAGGATATGGGCGGTAGTCTCTAATGCATACCCCCAAAAAGAGATAGATAGCGAAGCACGACTCATCATAGAGCGAACCATGTCCAACAAGGTTCGATTACGCCTTTCTGCCACACCATTCAATTGGGGTGTCCTAGGTGGCGTCAATTGTGAAACTATTCCACACTCGTTGAGATAATCGTGGAATTCAAGACTTAGGTACTCTCCTCCTCGATCGGATCGAAGCATCTTGATTTTCCTGCCCAATTGATTTTCTACTTCATTCTTGAATTCTTTGAACTTTTCAAAAGTTTCTAACAGTAGATAAACCCATATTTACTATAGTCATCGGTAAAAGTCACGTAGAAGCGGTTTCCATCCTTCGTGGTAGATCTAAACGGTCCACACACATCGGTATGTATGAGGTCCAGTAGACCCTCACCCCTTTCGCACGTACCAGCGAACGGTGACTTAATCTTTCCAAGTAAACAAGACTCGCATGTGTCATCTTCCCTAAGGTCGAATGACTCCAACACTTCATCATTTTGGAGTTGGGCTATACGTTTCTTGTTGACATGTCCAAGACGACAGTGCCACAAGGATGCCTTATCCATACTACTGGAAGAATCCATGCATAAAACATCATTTCCTTAGTTATCAACAATCATAACAGTTTCATAAATTCCATTACACGGTATTTCTTCAAAATAAAAGACACCATTCAGATAAACCAAAATAGAACCATTCTCTTTACTAAAAGAAAATCTAAAACCTTGTCTAAACAAACCATGAAATGAAATGATGTTTCTAGCCATTTCTGGCGAATAGCAACAATTGTTCAAATCTAAAGATAAACCATTCCTAAGCACTAAAGAATACACTCCAATCCTGGTCACAGGCGATGATCTTTTGTTCCCCATGATTAGATTTATTCTTCCATGCTCCACATCTCTATTCTTCTTAGTACATGCACATTAGAACAAATGTGGCAACCACAACCGGTATCAAGAACCCAAGAAATATCATGAGATGAATCGTTAGATTTAATTGTGTATATACTTGCGAACGATGGCCTGATCTTTCCTTCGTTGATGGCTTGCAGGTACTCTGGGCAGCTTCTCTTCCAGTGTCCTATCTTGTGGCAGTGGTGGCACTCTACCTCTTTCGGGTTAGGGCAGGGCTTAGCGGGATCAACTTTGGTCCCACTAGAAGAGGCACCATCTCGGGCTTTAACCTTGCGATAGTTCTTTGACGAAGCCTTCCTCTTCTTTCCCTTTCCTTGTCCAATTGCCAAGACATGAGCAGCGGGTGGATTGGGAGTTGGTGCAACAGACTTGTCCTTGAAGTTGCTCTCAGCGACCCTCAAGAGACCTTGGAGTTTGCTTAGGGTGACCTCTTCTTTGTTCATGTGATAGGTCATCCTAAATTGATTGTAACTTGGAGGCAAAGAGTGAAGCACCATGTTAATCGCCAAGTCTTCCCCAAAGTCAACATTCAACTTGCGAAGGCGATCGACATACCTTTGCATCTTTTGCAGGTGCACGGTAAGAGACTCTCCATGACCCATCTTAGTGGAAATCATGTTTGTGAAAATCTCATAACGCTCTTGTCTCGCATTTTGATGGTATCTCTCCAACAAGTCTTGGTGCATTTCGTACGGATACATGTCCTCGTAGGACTTTTGGAATTCGGAGTTCATAGTGGCGATCATGATGCAATGTACCTTCGTTGCATCACGCTAGTGAGTTTCAAAAGTGGTCATCTCGGCCGGAGTAGCGATTTCAGGGTTGATTTTCTCGAGCTTCTCATCGAGGACACACTCCTTATCCTCATAGTGAGCAATCGTGCGAATTTATCTTATCCATTCACTAAAGTTCGTTCCATCGAAGGTGACCTTTTGAGAAAGGCTCATTATAGTGAATGAACTCGCAGCAGCGTTGTTAGCGTTCGACATCTACAAATAGAAAGGACAAAGATAGATTAGAATATGAATCCCTAATTATCACCCAATAAGAAAAATTAGGGCTAGGATCCAACAACAATATTTACACCTTAGAAAAGGGATCCCGTAATCTAATATGCAAACAATTTGAAGGTAAGTGAATGATGATTCACTAATTCTCCACCATGAAAAACATAACTTTAAGTCCTAAATGTATTGAGAATTCCTAGGTTTTGATGAGATTCATTGAAACTTTTCAATGGCATGTTTAAATCTCGATATGCCCCTCTTGTTTGTGACTGGGATACCGAGGATCACAAAGCGGGTGTGAATTACCATGCAAATTCACATGGTGCCTTCATTGTAACGATCGCCTATTCGATGTGCCGGTAAACCACACATGCTCCATCGAACTATGATAAACAATGAATCACCCTTTGCCACCTTCGCTTAGAACCAATTAGTGTGCCGGTAAACCACACACGCTCCACTAACTTCTTAGCAAGGTGCAAAGTGTAATTTCATGGGATTGCATCAATTCACTTTTCCTAAAGTAACTAAGATTGGGAAATTTTAAGAAAACATGTAGTTACTTTGTATTTCATATTATACTTTTAATGAGAGGATGAGGTTGCCCTATCCTACCCGTTCGGCTAACGACCGTCCACCGATCAAGCAAGCAGTGGGTGTGAGTGTACACCCATTAAGTGCCATTTTATAGGCCGCAACCTTATACCCACCTTATAGACCGGCTTCGTGAATGAGGCATACTAACGGTAAGACTAGCATTTAAGTTATACATATATAGATATTAATTTTGTAATATTATATTAGTATAGTGTTGGATTTTAAACTTGTAAAATTCTAGGGTTTGAAATTTAAATTGTCTAAATTAAACTTTTAATCACAAAACAAAAATTTCAAAACTTGAGGGCAAGTTTTTAAACATTTAAAACATAAAGGATCAAATACCAAATAATTCAAATTACCAATTAATCACATAATTATCCATATTTGATTTATTTATGATTTATTGAAAAACAATTTACCAATTTAATCAAAATAATTAATAATTATCATATAAGGAAATTAAATATTTTATTAATTGATAAATATCTTCAATTAGATCAAAAATATAGTCATATATATCATAAAATTGGATTTGGGTTGATTTAATATGATAAAGGTAAGTTTCCATAAGATAAATATGAAAAAAATCCCGATTTTGGCTCTTCCTGACGCTCGGACTCGCCGAGTCAGGCCAACTCGCCGAGTCCACTATGGGACTTGCCGAGTCCATGACTCAGAAACACAAAATTCAAATTTTGCAGGTAAGATTCAAACAATCAAGCAATAATTTAATAGAAACCAATCTAGGCTCTGATACCACTAATGGGTTTTGGACATATGAACATTCCTATGTGCACATACAAACCATAATGCTTGGATCTAGGTTTCTCTAATTAAACATTCATTGAATCCAAGACTTCTAATGACTAATTAGGTATAAGAACAATACAAAACCAGAGTTAGAAGCTTACCTTGAAACACCTGTTTGATCTTCTTGTTCTTGGAGCTTTAGAGTCACAATTGTCACTCCTCTAATGGCTTACAAACACCAACTAGCAAAGAGAATGATTTGAGAGAGAGGAGAGAGGAGGAAATAGGTCAGGGTTTCCTTGCTGTAGAGTAGGTGCCGATTTCCCTATCCCAAGGGGTCTATTTATACTTGTAAGGCTCCTAGGGTTTTACCCTTAAACCCTAATTGGATAACTTAGACTCTAAGCAATCCTAATCCTTACTAAAGATAAGCCTTGGACGATTTTATGGCTATCCTTAACCCTAGAAATCGTCCACCCTCTATCCTATAAGGATTTACAGCCCAAAGTGTAACTATCAAACAATTGACAGTTTATACCCTCTTATTTAATTAATCTCTTTAAGCCACCAAATTAATACTAATTAATCTATGACTTATATTAATCAAATAACAATATTGTTATTCCTTATATTATTCTCGTAATATATTAATAATATCTATTCTCTCATAATAAATCATCCTGTCAAGTTGCTATGGTGAATGCAACCCAAAATGACCATGCACAATCGGGTCAAATGCTTGCCTAATATAGTTGCAGCCTTAGACACTATTCCAACAAACATATCATTGCTTCTATGTTAATTGTTATGATATTTTACGATGAAAATCCCATTACTTGAATCAATGATTTTTTTTTCTTTTTGTTGTTATGCCCACCAGGTGCTCAGTTTATTGCCAAGGTGAGTTGCATTTTTTTTGGGTTTTAAACTTACAGGTACAAATCAGAATGTGGGTGATTTGCTTTAGTAAACACATTTTCTGTTTTTATTCTATCCACATGAATTCGTAATTCATCCATTCTCTATAAATGTTTGTTTTGTTATATCGGTTGTCATTGGAATTATGATTTCCTTTATATACTTTTATCAATTTGCTAACCCAAAATGGTCTTAATTATGGTTTTGTTTTTTCTATATCTTTCATTAGTTACTTAGTAATGGTCACTAGATGCTATGAAATTAGTCTTCAAATATAATTTGTAATGTATTTTGTTTGTGCAGGGGTATTTGGCTAATATTGAGAACATGGCTCCATATAATCAAAAGAGTGAAGGGGACAAAAATATTAGTACTGCTACTACTCCTACTGCTGTTGCATCAAAGCAACTAAATCTGAAAAGATTCAAATGATGTCTAAAACAACAGGTGAAGATAACATTCAAAGCATAAAATCTTATGTTACTGAATTGAAAGAATGTGTGGCAAAGTTACAATACCAAAAACAGCTACTTGTCTACTAGGTTAGTTACATCAGAAGGAAAAGTATATTTTTACTAAAATTCCAAAAATTCCCTTTGTAAAATTATTGTTTTGGTTTGAACATGTGTTGGAGGTAGAGGAAGCAAACGATGGTGGTGGTGGTGGGGCCTCTGATGAGACGGATTTTGTGGAGGAAGTGGTATATCCTATCATGCCACATCACCTTGTGTTATGTCAGGTACCTACAGAACAACATTAAGAGGAATTAACATTTTTTGCAGAAGTTGATAGAGTAACTTCTTCCTTTTTTTAGAAGAAAAGGAAGCGAACTTCAATTTAAGTTTTAGAATGTAGTCTTCTCTGAAATGATACATAGGCAAGCAATTATTTGTTAAGTTTTCTTTATTTTACTACCATTTAACGAAAAAAAATTACTATTACTTTTTTTTTTTTGGTAATGAAGCTTGACCTAAACACAATGCTTGCAGAAACTGTTGCATATGTTGAATTTTTCCAACTCCAAATCAAGGTTGGTAAAAAAATTCATATTACTTGTTTTATATCATGAATAGAGATTTAAGATTGAAGTTACTGATCTTCTATTGTAGCTTTTGAGCTCCAATGATCTATGGACGTATACTCATCTTGCCTACAACGGTATGGACATTAGACTTGGTATAATACATGATTTGGTGATTCAACATTACCTCTTTATTCATTTTTTTAATCCAAAACTACACATGCTTCTATGTTCAACCTTTATGGTTATTTTTCATGAACACTATACCCTGAATGCTTATAGGTATGAGCTTTCTTTGACTTTCTCATACTTTTTGTTTCTCTAAAATCGGCAAGTTCATTTTATTTTGCTTTGACAATATTGATACATTGATTAGTGTCACTAATAGCAATTGAATTTCTACGATGTTCATGTAACTAATATTGAGAAAGTCGGTGTCATGAATGGATCGGTTACATACCACAAAACTAGACGGGTTATGAATGTGGAAGAAGAAGAAGAAGATTTAGACGACAATCTTATTACAATATTAGTACCGTGTTCTTTATTTGTCTTACATTTTAAGGTAAAAAATATATTTTTAAAAACTTTTTGAAACATATAGAATTGGTATCACGTTGCAGCTCGGTGGTTTTGAATTATGATTTTTGTTTTTGTAGGTCGACCAATCAGTCTTATGGAGATGTTACCTTACATGTGATTGACCCGTCACAAAGAGGAACCCCTTTATTTCCTCTTAAAAGGGAGGTGATCACATGGATTTTATGGTAACATCAGATGATGCTTTTTTTTTTTTTTTGTTTTTTTAGGGTACCCTGCGTTACAAGAGAATGTATTTGCCTCCTTTATATATTTGCAGTGTGATCAATATTTTGTTATTTTTTTTGTATGTATTCACATATTTTATCAATCTGACAATATAAGTTTAAATGTGTATTATGATAAGTTTTTTAGTGAGTGAATGATTACAGTATAAAATCTATGATTTTGTGATGAACATCAATATGTTGCCCTAGATTTGTGGACATTAATAGCTTCCTTGATATTCGACCAAATTTTATTTATTTTTAAAACTAGGATGGCTTCTTTGATTATTTTTAGAAATTGATGGTTCCAGTGAAAAGAAAACAGAGTTACAAAGGTATGAAAACACGTACATGCCATCTTGTATCAATTTCCAAAAAGAAGATTTTAACATTATGATTTGTGTTGATTTTGAATTTCTATAGAAGTTTCTTTCAAGTATAGGAAAGATGAATCCCACTTATAGGCTATAGATTTCGGTCTATCCGACTTCATAAGAGCAGGTTAGTTTAGTATCCCATGTCTTCTCAGTACAAAAATAATTTATAATGTAATTTTTGTGTTTTTATGTGAAGGAAATTTACCAAAAGCTATTACGGGCAAAAAAACAAAATCTACAGTGTGATCCGCTACAGTTGGAGCATATTGATATAACTTAAGCAAGCATAGGTTGCAGAGAGTTAGAACCCAACCCTGACTTGATAGCTTGATGAATTTGGTTCGACTCTTTATGAAAATTTAGTAATTCTATATTTGGTCCAAACCTATTAAAAAATAAAAGTAAATTAGGTATAAAATTCCTAACATAGGTAAAAAAAATTGGCCAATCATTATTAAAAAAAAGTAGGATGACATCCACTAATATCATATTACAAACTAAAACTCATGCATTGTCATTAATTTTGTGACCTTTTTATTTATTTTTAATTTCGTGATAGATAAAAGGCCCGTTTGAAAAAGTGATGAATAATGTGACGGCTCTAATATTATTGTAGTTTTTTACAACAAAACCATATGCTTGTGATCCTTCAAGTTTGCCAAAATATGCCCCCAACAAACACTAGACACTGATGCAAGACAAGGTATGTTCATCTTTAGTTTATATCTTAACTATAATTGTATACCTTCATTAAACCCACTTTTTAATAATTGAAAATGTTGTAGACAAAAAGTGGAATATAAAGGCCGAAAGGTGGAAAAGGAAACTCAATAACTAAGAGATCCTCGGGAAGTTCCATCTCCTCATGTTGGAAGAAAAAATCATGAAAGAGAGGACAAAGTTAGGGATTGTAGAACTATCTAATAGCAGGTCTTACGCTATGTCAATAATCGGTGAGTTTTGTTTATCTTCACACTTTTCCTACTAAATTTTTCCCACGGTTGAATTAGGTTGATCAACACATCATTTGAAACGAACATATAACACTTCAAGACACTGTTATGTGGTGTTGTTTACTCTATTCCTTTTGATGTTTGTCCTAAATGTATAAAGTGTACACCTGATGTACTTATCTCTCTAAGTACATGTGTATACTAGAGCAAATGGTTGAATTTTTGATTCTACCGTGTTTACATTTTTTGTGGCATAGGGATACTTTTACAAATTTGAGAATCCTGATTAATTCATGTAGATGATTATTGCAACAAATTGAGTTTCTAAAAACCTAAGAACAATACAAACCTTTTGAAAACGGTTTAATCGAAATCCGACCCCCACAACGCGGGGTCACTTTTCTAGTTTAAATTAACTTTTTCTATATTAAATATAACTAAACCTAATATATGAAACATGGGCATGAGCCTATCACTTTCATCTCTTCTCTATTCACGACGTCAAACACCCATTAAGCCTACTGATGGGAAAAGTGCAGCCATAACAATAAATAACAATGTGGAAATAAACTTTTTTTACTACACTTTTCGCACTTGAATGAACATTTGAGGATGCAAATAAATAAGGTATTATTAATTGCAATAAAAAAACCACAATGGGTGTTTGACGTCCTCAAAACGAGACACTGAAGTTTTAGCGTGGAAAATCCTCAAAACTAGAGTATAAAAACCAATACGAGAGCCATTTCGAATCCACTATCACTAATATTTGAGCCATACAAAGTCTTTTCTAGATCTACTAGAGGTAATAATCATCATATATTTGGAACAAGATTACTTCAATTGAATGGAATCAAATATGCAATAAAGGGAGGACGAATATCACAAAAAAAAAAAATTGCTATTGTCCATAAAACAATAGAAATGATTCCTGAGTCTCCAGAGTTGATGTCAATAATTCAACTATTAGATATGAATTTCTCGATAGTAGGAAGCCGTTGTTTGAAAATCAAAGAAAACAGACCGTTGGATCTCCGGGAAAATACAAAACATTGCAGGTATATCTTCAAAAACGAGAATGGAGTAAACCCTTCTTTTTTGCTTCTCTCTCTCTCTCTCTCTCTATATATATATATATATATATATATATATATATATATATATATATCCCTTTCTTGGTGGCTATGAATTTTTGAGTTCCTTGAAACGTTAGGGTAGTAAACACACACACACACACACATATATATATATATATATATATATATATATATATATATATATATATATATATATATATATATAGGCTAAAGAAGTGGGCTTTCCTCATGGGTTAAAAGACCCAAGAGAAAAACCAACAAATCTCCCCTTTTTTGGCCTATGAGGAGGAGTTCGCCATCCCGAATATTGAACAACATATTTTTAACTTCTCCCATGCTAAAGCCTTAGTCAACATATCAAAACCATTATCAGCGGTATAAACTTTCTCAACTTAAAAAATAGTTATCTTCAAGAGCATCTCTAATCCAATAACTCACATCGATATGCTTTGTTCTTTTGTAAAACATAGAATTCTTAGCAAGTAAATATCACTTTGATGCTCTAATATGTGATTTTAATGTATATTTACCATCAATCTTCATCTAATAACTAGAGGGCATTTACTTAGTGCCTCAAGATTCAATACATAAAGTCATACACACATACACACACACACTCACACACACACACACACATATATATATATATATACATACATACATAGATACATATGTTATGATACCCTCGGACAAGGCGGCAGCACATGTCAGGCTGTGCTACTAAGTTCATATATCATACGTAAACTGAATATATATAGCGCAAGTACAATAATAAAGAAAATAGCATTTATATTCCATCTTGATGTTTGAATATAAGTTTCTTATAGATAATAATAGTTCATGAATTGCGAAAACAGATTGGTATATAATCGAACAACTAGTAAACTAGGTCGGTTGTAACCCGTTCCGTCTTGAATGTTTGTTTAGTGATTTCCTAAGAATACATATAGTTTTTGTGACATCCCCAAAATCACGGCCAGAAAAGACCGATTTTGTTTATGCTTTATAAAAATCAGAATACTTCATTTTATAAAAAGGTTGCGGAATTTGTTCCCAGAAAAACACGATAAATACGTTATTAAAACATTTTCGAAGAAACGTATTTTTATTCATCTTAAAACGTTTAGGATGCCATCGTTAATACAGAAACATAAGCATAAACAGAACTTACATTTATTTACACTAGTGATCTACATCTCTTTAAATCTCTCAGTGTAAAGTGACTTCATATCAACACCAGTGATATACATAAACTGAGTGGGTCAGGTTGGGAAACCTGGTGAGTACATAGGGTTTTCAACCCACAATAATATAATTATTATGTTTAATCATCAAACAATTAACCCCATTACCCATCCCCGTTATCTTCTTTACTCTTAAGGATTTAACCTAAGAGTCGTCTATCCTGCATTTGTTTATTCCGAAGTCCCTTACTTCCAGGGTTATAGGACTGGCACTAAATCCATAGCTGCCGATGTTAGTTCGTAAAGCACTAATTCCATAGCTGCTATATCCTACTCATCGGGTACTAAATCCATAGCTACCAGCGTTCAACAGGTACTAATTCCGTAGCTACCAATTCCTACAGGTACTAAATCCATAGCTACCAGTGTCTAACTAATAGGTACTAAGTCCATAGCTACCAATTTCTAATAGGTACTAAATCCATAGCTACCAACGTCTGACATGTACTAAGTCCATAGCTACCGGTGTTTGTCCCATAGGCACTAAGTCTATAGCTGCCAATGTATACTCACGTCATCTTCTATCTCTCATCATATATCTACCCATCATCATACCCCACATATTCGTATATATAAAATACGTATATAGTTTAAATCCTTTAAAACATGTATAAAACGTTCATCCAACATAGACAACAAGTATTCAGATAATATGCACACATAGCACGTAGTTTATATTAAATACTTCATATCTATGTGTAAGATGAAAGGGACTATGCACTCACCTGATTAGATGGTTATTCCGAACTTAGACAACACTTCGTTATCTCAAAAAAAATTTCCTCGACAAAACCTAGTATCAATACCACTAGGGTTTAGTTTTTAACGTTAACCACGACTAATTAATAGTCTAGCTATTATTACTATTATATAAGTGTTAAATAACACTCAATATAACTCATAATAATAGCCCAAATAATTATTTTAAGGTCCTAATAATGTTACTATAATTAAATAAAAGCTATATTAAATATAGTATAGGCATAACTCACTTACAATGGGTTTTTATTAAAAACCGGGCTTCGTTGGAGCAGCGTTTCCGAGCCGAAAGCTTTTCTTCTCGGAGCCGTCGGGCGCTCCGGGGCTTTCTTCTCATGATAGGGAGGTTCCGTAGACTTGGGAGGGGTTTAGGGAGGCTAGAGAGAAGTTAGAGTGAGAAAGAGAGGCTTATGGTGTGAAGAAAATATGAGGAGTTCACCCTTGTATTCATAGGAGTTTATAGT